ATTTCTTGCTGCCAAAGAAGGGAAGGTGCCCCCTTTTAGAGACACCCAGGTCTACTATTCAGAGCCAGGTTTTATTGGCTCTACAAACGATGAGCATAACCATCATCACTGTATGTTCACTGTTAAAATGAAATATAATACACTAGGAAGTTTCCCTTTTTCTCTTGTTTCCGAGGAGACTTACTCCAGTTAAAGGGTGCAGTGTCACCAATGACACTACTGCTGATGTGATTTGAGTCTGTCCCCCTGAGGCTCTAATCCATGTGAGTTGAACTCCTTAAGATTACATTCTGCTTTGACATAATTTTTCTGTGGATTTACACTATATTGTACTTTATTCTGTTTTTTTCATGTATGTATTATATGTACATCCAAGTCTGACACCCTATTTAGGGTAAGTGTATACATTTTTTTTATCTGTATAGCGCTCCACTCATTTTATTAGTATAGAGTAGGGTAACCACTCGAATCTTACTAATTCGTTCTGTCCTGCCTCTGATCTGCCTAATTGTCAGTCTCAGCCAATCCTATGGGAAAGCATTGAGATTGGCTCAGATAATCATTTCTGATGTCAGCCAAGCAGGCAGAGGCAGCAGCTGCACACTTGAATGCAAGTAAGATTTTACCATATTTCAGGAGGCAGGGGGGTGGGGGTGGGGTGACTAGATGGTGGTTTTAAAACTACAGGGTCAGGAATACAAGTGTTCCTGTCCCTATTGTGTTACTTTAATATTTCGTTTTGGCTCATCCACAGCCATATAATTCTACCATCATATTATTCACAGGTGTTCCTCCCTACAATATACAAAACTGACAATGCGAAGATTTTAGTAGTAGATATCAAATGCCTGAGCAATATTTTATTAGAAAGTTTTTGTCAAAATGCTTGAAGGGTAGGTTGTATGATAGGGACAGAAAATACGTTTTCTAGTGGATCTTTTGTTAGCACATTACAAAGGTAATTTCTTAAGTCTATTCTGCCTAGCAGCATAGTAGACACAAGCATGTCCCTATTGTTGCAAGGTAATGAAGAAAACAACTTTATAATGCATATGCAAAATAAAATGGGACTCACAAAATATCTAAGTGAGTTAAAAATATGCTTCAGTGGACTTCTAACACGTAGTGAGAGAGATCAAATACACTATTTTAATCTGGAATCCTACAATTAAATTAATTATTCTCTTTTGTTTGTATCTGACCGAACAAACAAGCTGACTAATTCAAGCAATGATCCTAAATAGCATTCCAAAAACAGAGCAATTCACCAGTATCCACGTTCAGGTTTTCATGTGGATTACATGTACTAAGATATGTAACAGGGTTGATGTTCCAGGAGGGATAAGCCAAATGACAAATGATTTAGGTAAACTAGAAAAATGGTCAGCATTGTGGCAACTGACATTTAATGTGGATAAGTGCAAGATAATGCATCTTGGACGTAAAAACCCAAGGGCAGAGTACAGAATATTTGATAGAGTCTAACCTCAACATATGAGGAAAGGGATTTAGGGGTGATTATTTCTGATGACTTAAAGGTAGGCAGACAATGTAATAGAGCAGCAGGAAATACTAGCAGAATGCTTGGTTGTATAGGGAGAGGTATTAGCAGTAGAAAGAGGGAAGTGCTCATGCCATTGCACAGAACACTGGTGAGACCTCACTTGGAGTATTGTACACAGTACTGGAGACCGTATCTTCAGAAGGATATTGATACCTTAGAGAGGGTTCAGAGAAGGGCTTCTAAACTGGTTCATGGATTGCGGGATAAAACTTACCAGGAAAGGTTAAAGGATCTTAACATGTATAGCTTGGAGGAAAGACGAGACAGGGTGGATATGATAGAAACATTTAAATATATAAAGGGAATCAACACAGTAAAGGAGGAGACTATATTTAACCCCTTAAGACCGGAGGGCGTACTATTACGTCCTCTAATAGGCGGCTCTAAACGCCGCCGGGCGTAATAGTACGCCCTCCGGTCTTTCTGTACTTACCCGGTCGCCGGCGGTCCCACGCCGGCGATCGCGGTGGTGGGGACTCCCAGGGAGCCCCCCGCGGCACGACCGTCCTCCAGGAAGCCCCCCGGCCGTGTGAGAGTGGGGTCCTAGCGAGGACCCCACAATCACATGGCCGGGGATAGCTGGCTTCTGTATTGCCAGCAGGGGGGCTGCCTGTAATGACAGGTGGTCCCTCTGCTGGCTGAAAATAAAAATGAAATAAATAAATAGTGTAAAAAAATAAATAATATATACTTAGATCATATATATATATTATATATATATGATCAAAGTATATATATACACATATACATACACACATGTACACCATCTAGGTGTATTTTACTATTAATATATATATAATTATATATATATATTAATATCAAATTACACGTACACTGATACTGATTAAATATATATATAATTATTGTTATATATATTTATATATATTATAAAAAAAATTAAAATGTAAATACGTTAAAAAATAAAATTACAAAAATAATTAAAAATAAATAATTAAAAAATATATAGATGTGTGTTATTTCGTTCTAACTGTATTGTGAAATATATATATATATATATCAAAATACACATAGAACGAAATAATATATATATTTATACACATAAATATATACGTATATATCACTATATATATACCTATATCTAAATAAAAATATTTTTAAAAAATTATATAGATATATACATATATATACACATACGTATATATATACATATATTGATTCTACATATATATTTATGTAATATTTTTACATAATTAGGTATCTTAATTAGTTACAATTAGCAGGACCTGCATGACAACCCATGCCGAAAGTAAAGGGAATTTAATTTGCTAGCACTATATTTAACCCTATAACTTTCCGAGACACCATAAAACCTGTACATGTGGGGTACTGTTCTACTCGGGAGACTTCGCTGAACACAAATATTAGTGTTTCAAAACAGTAAAATGTATTACAAGGATGATATCGCCAGTAAAAGTGACGTTTTTTGCATTTTTCACGCACAAACAGCATTAAACGGACAATATTATTGCTATGATACTTTTTACTGTTTTGAAACACAAATATTTGTGTTCAGTGAAGTCTCCCGAGTACAGCAGTACCCCTCATGTACAGGTTTTATGGTGTTTTCAAAAGTTACAGCGTCAAATATAAGGCTTGAGTTTAATTTTTTTCACATTAAAATTCGCCAGATTGGTTACGTTGCCTTTGAGACCCTATGGTAGCCCAAGAATGAAAATTACCCCTATGATGGCATACCATTTGCAATAGTAGACAACCCAAGGTATTGCAAACAGGGTATGTCCAGTCTTTTTTAGTAGCCACTTAGTCACAAACACTGGCCAAAATTGGCATTTTTTGCATTTTCACACACAAACAAATACTAACGCTAACTTTGGCCAGTGTTTGTGACCAAATGGCTACTAAAAAGACTGGACATACCCCATTTGCAATACCTTGGGTTGTCTACTATTGCAAATGGTATGCCATTATGGGTGTAAATTTAATTCCTGGGCTACTATAAAGTCCCAAAGGCAACGTAACCAATCTGGCAAATTTCAATTTCAAATGTAACGTGCTATATTTGACCCTGTAACTTCCCAAAACGCCATAAAACCTGTACATAGGGGTACTGTTTTACACGTGAGACTTTGCTGAATACAAATATGTGTATTTTATTGCAGTAAAAGCAAACAGTATTATGACACTGACCGTTTAATTGTCATGTAAAACTAAAAAAATCCAATAAAATCGTATTTTCTCCCATTTTTTTCATATTAAATTATGTTTCATAGCTAAATATTTGATATTAAATGAAAGCCCTGTTTCCCCTGAATAAATGATATATAATAAGGGTGGGTGCATTTACTATGAAAGAGGTGTATTACGGTTGGACAGACATGTAGCGCAAATGCCAGGTTTTGTTTACATTTTGTTTTGTTCACAACGTGTACATTTGGCTCCGTCCTTAAGGGGTTAAAAGAAGAAAAACTAACACAACAAGAGGACATAGTCTTAAATTAGAGGGACAAAGGTTTAAAAATAATATCAGGAAGTATTACTTTACTGAGAGGGTAGTGAATGCATGGAATAGCCTTCCACCTGAAGTGGTAGAGGTTAACACAGTAAAGGAGTTTAAGCATGCGTGGGATAGGCATAAGGCTATCCTAACTATAAGATAATACTAGGGACTAATGAAAGTATTTAGAAAATTGGGCAGACTAGATGGGCCGAATAGTTCTTATCTGCCGTCACATTCTATGTTTCTATGTTAAGGGGCTACAACAAGCATGTCAAACTCAAAGGCTAACACAGGCCAAATAAACTAGGTTTAAGTTTATGTGGGCCTCAAAAATAAATAAATAAATAAATACATTTTAAAAAAAAGTTCGACCTAGACCAACACAAACCATAGTTGCCAACATTTGAAAAAAATTTCCAGGGACACTGCAGCACAGCTATCAATTACTACCATACCTTGAAAATGTACCACACCCACTGCCGCAAAGCTCCACCCACTAAAAGCTCTGTCCAACCCACATCATTTTATGTCAAGACAGGAGGCTTCATATTTGCATTACTTTCTTTACTGTAACTCCCAGCAGCAAAGAAACAGTTAACAGTAAGTAAAAAATGTAACCAATCCGAATGTACAATAGAGTATGTCCAGTCATCAGGCTCCTCCCAATTCCTCTTTCTTTGCTGCTTAGCCTCCCAGGTGAGTCTATTCCAAGTACAGCTTATTTACAATCTTCATATATATATATTTTAACAGATTCAAACTATTTCACTAAAACATACTAAATGCTTATTAATGTTCTTTCTCTATTTAAATCTATCAGTACATTTTTATTTTATTATTTTTTAAATCAAACGCTGTTTCTTTAAATTTTAAACTGTCTGCTCCCCTCCATTACTGACAGAAACCGCATCAGTAATCTGATCGCGGCTTTCTGACCGGCGGCCATCCAGTGAGATTTCACTGGGTGTTCTCCACTTTGTGCCTGATTGCTCGGGCGGTATCACCGCCTACTTCCTTCACGACCGGCCCCCTACCGCCTCCATAGTGACGTGTCCATCCTTCTGCGACCACTTTCCCCTCCTCATTTGTGCGGGCTTTCTCCCGCGCTTTTTTCTCCGCTGGCATTTCGATCGGGTTGCAGCTTGGTCTCTGCTCTCTTCAGAGGCTCTCCAGCACCATCTGCTGGGCGCTCAGGTAAGTACACCCAATATATTGAAATAAATATTTTACTAAATATTTTAATTAAACACCACTTTCTGGTGGATTTCTCATACTAAAGTGACTTCCATCTTTTTTATTACAGACTAACTTCTAAAAAAAAACTACCTAAAAATCCTTGCATAAGAGGGTGACCCCCTCTATACTTATTACTCCTGTCTCACTACTGAGGGTGACCCCCTCTATACTAAATACTCCTGTCTCATTGCTGAGGGTGACCCTCTCTATACTAAATCTTGTCTGCCTTATTACAGAGGGTGACCCCCTCTCATAAATATATTAATTTGCCTCAATCTACTGTCTACCGAGGGTGACCCCCTCATTACATTATTTCCACTGCATCTTAATCTGTGGGTGACTCCACGCTCAATTAAAAAAAGGTCACTGCCACCACTTTGATACGACACTTTGCGTTACATGCCCAAACAAGTCCACCACCTATTGAATTGTTGCCATTATTAAAAATAAATAAATAAATACAATTTTTACTGTTATATATTTTTACATAGTACTAGTGGTGACCCCACTTTACCGCAATCATGTCAGACTTGCCGGAACCAGCAGTCCCTGCAGAACTCAAAGCTTGGCTGTATAATGCCATTGCGGACTCCATCCCAAAAGCCTCAGCAGCTTTCCACGACCAGTCCAAACCCACCTCTAAAAGGATCCCTATCGCACACTTGTCAGACTCGGATGAGTTTAAGGGCTCAGACCATGAGGAAACCCCCCGCAAACGTCCCTGGAAGGGCGATAGTGCTACCGCCTGTAAAGGCAAGGCACCGGCTAAAACACCCAGATTACCCATCCCAGATACTCGGGATCATAACCCTAACTATAACCCAGACCCATTAGAGGGTTCCACTTCCAACCTGCAACTGCAAGTAGTTGACGAGTACTGTGCAGGATATTCAGACGAGGACTTTCCCTCGCATGAATTCAATGAACCTCCCTCCGACTCTAACTCCATTCCGGAGGATATTTTACTGGATACCCTTGGCCAGCCCTTGTTTGACCCTAGGTACATCAAGCACCCACGCTCAACCGAGTGGACCCCCCAGACCACATTGCTAAATTCTGCAGGATGTGGCTGCGTAAGCCTTTAGAAAAGGAAGTGAGGGCAAAGTTAAGAGCAGAATGCCCACGACCTGTTATCCCAGACAAGGTAGCTGTTACCCCAGAATTTGATCCCCTGCTCGTCACCTTCCTATACAAATCTGGGAAAGACCCCCGTAAGGGTTTAGAACAAGGCCTGAAGGCAGCCCAAGATAAGATGAAGGATATGGCAGGACCACTTATCCAAATTTTCAGTATTGCGGATGAGGCTTTGACAGGTGGCACTTTAGATGTGCACTTGGTGCGTGAATGGGCACAAAGGGCACTATGCCTACTTGGCAATGCCAACGTAGCCATGTCAACCGAAAGGCGCAAAGGCGCCCTATAAAAAATTGATTCAAAGCTCGTCGAACTAGGCACTAAAGAACTTGGCCCTGAGGCACAAGGCATGTTTTTCGGAGACAAGTTTATAAAGGAGTTAAGCAAACACGTTGCTGTGTTTACGATGCTTACCAAAGCACAATCCTCTTTACGCAAGGTGTTTAGGACCCAACGTTTTTCCGGGAGAGCCAGCCATCACAGAGGCCGGTCAGCTGGCAGAGCTGCCTTCACAGGCTTCAGGCCTCGACCTTCAGACCATTGGAACTCGGGCAACACCCGTTTCCACCACAGACACTTCTTCCCCTCTCATGGCTCTTTTAGAGGACGTGGATCTGCTTCCCTCCGCGGTCGCACTCCTACAGGTAATGGACTCTCATTTTTTTCATATACCTATTGCAGGCCGATAAACCCATTTTTCACAACAGTTGTCTCGGCTCACACAAGACCCATGGATCCTTCAGACCGTGTCGGGCTGCCACCTAGAATTCACAGAGAATCCAGTTCAAATGTCTTTACTTGCCCCCCTCAGAATGTCAGATAGCCTAGTCTCCAAGGGTGCCGTCGAACAATCCCTCGGCCCACAAGGGTTTGTGAGCAACATGTTTCTAGTCAAGAAAAAGTCGGGAGAGTTCCGACCTGTCATCAATCTAAGAGAGCTCAACAAATTCATCAAATACAGACACTTCAAGATGGAGGGCATCCATCTGCTACGAGACCTCCTCTGCGAGGGAGATTGGCTCTCCCGCTTCGACCTCAAAGATGCGTACCTCACGGTTCCAATCACGCCAGAACACCGCACCTTCCTCCAATTCCATTGGCGCAAAACAATATGGCAGTTCACCTGTCTCCCCTTCGGACTGTCCTCCGCACCTTGGTGTTTCACTAAACTAATGAAACCGATGATGGGACTACTCCATTCACAAGGGATTCGCTCCATCATATACTTGGACGATATCCTCCTCATGGCTCAAGACGAGGAGACTCTACGCCTCCATACAGATATGACTTCGGCTCTCCTCTAGAATTTGGGTTTTGTCATCAATCTTCAAAAGTCACCGCTAACTCCGTCCCAGACGATACAGTTTCTGGGATTTCAGATAGATTCGATTCAGGCAGTTCTACAACTCCCTGCTACGAAAATCAAAACCATAAAAAAGGACATCCGGAGATTGCTGGCTTCACCATACCTCCAACTCAAGGATTTAGCCCGCACAATTGGATTACTCTCCGCCTCAATCCAAGCAATACTTCCAGCTCCACTGCACTACTGGGCAATGCAACGTTTGAAAACACACTACTTACATCGCTCAACATCTTACGAACAACAGATTTTTCTCACAAAAGAAGTCCAATTGGAACTCCACTGGTGGCTTCAACATATGGAGGCCTGGAATGGAAGGGCTATCTTCGGCCGACAACCCGATTTAATTCTGGAATCAGACGCCAGCCTCCTCAGATGGGGCGCCACCTGCTCGGAAAGTTCTACCGGAGGCCTCTGGTCCCCAGCAGACCAGGCTCTTCACATCAATTGCCTCAAACTAATTGCTGGCTCTTTCACGATCCACAGTTTTGCCAAGGAAGCCTACAACTGCAGTCTTGTCCTGAGGATGGACAATGTCTCAGCAGTACGATACATGAACCGCCTAGGTGGCTCCCGATCAAAAATGCTATCAGACCTGACAAAGGAATTATATCAATTCTGCCTGGACAGGAATATCTCCCTTTGTGCAGAATATCTCCCGGGCTCCGACAATCGTCGCAGATTGGTTCTCCCACCACTGGAGGGATTCCAGCGACTGGCAACTGGACCCACAAATTTTCTACCATGTACAGGTCCTGAGAGGGCCATTCAACCTGGACCTGTTTGCGTCTCGCCTGAACCGCCAGACGGACGCTTTCATCAGCTGGCTCCCAGACTCAGTGTGCCTGGCAGTGGATGCCTTCCTTCAACCATGGCCAACATCCGGAGCATATACCTTTCCCCCATTCTCCATGATCCCACGCATGATTCAATACCTCAAGACACAGCGCGTCACCATAACTCTGGTAATCCCTCTGTGGCGAATCCAGCCATGGTTCCCTTCTCTCCTCGAGATGTCGGTGGACTATCCACTACTACTACCCACCTCCTACAACCTCCTCAGGGACCCTTCAGGCAACTTCCACCCACTAGCATGACAAGGCCACCTTCGGTTAGTGGACCCTTCAGGCAACTTCCACCCATTAGCACGACAAGGCCACCTTCGGTTAGTGGCCTGGACCATTTCAGGGGATCCTGGAATGTCTCTGGCCTTTCGGCTGCTGCTCGAGGACTACTATGGGACTCTTGGGCCCCAGGAACAAGACGCTCTTATCTCTCAGCGTGGCAACGTTGGAATAGGTGGTGCTTGGAGAGGGACGTCGATCCCTTTTCAGCCCCTTTGATTAACATTATGAACTTCCTGGCATCACTCTTCGAACAGGGTAAATCCTATCCGTCAATTAACATTTTCCGTTCAGCCATTTCGGCAGCCCATAGCCCCGTTGACAACTCCGTGGTTGGTAAACACCCCTCCATATGTAGACTTTTGCGGGGTATCCGCCTCGCGAGACTCCCGGCTCCCAAATATAATCAATGGTTACTATGGTATTATCATTTTTGGAGACTTGGCCCCCTAATGGAGAACTCCCTCTGCGACAACTGTCGGCCAAACTGGCACTACTGCTCTGTCTGGTATCATTTAGAAGAGTTTTGGACATCAGAGCATTTGACTTCCATGCCGTGGACTTTACCCCTGAGGGAGTACACTTTTCTATAACCCGACGCACGAAAACCAATTCATCTACAGTAAGCTACCCTTACTTTCATGACAAACCCATGCTCTGCGTAGCTAGTTGCGTCCGACACTACATCCTTTGCACTAAGGACCTTACACCCCAAACGGGCCAATTACTGGTGTCCTACGTTCGACCTCACAAGCCAGTCTCATGCCCCATGATTGCTCGTTGGATCAAATGGCTTCTAACCCAAGCAGGCATTGATCCATGTTTTGGTGCTCACTCAGTGAGAGGCGCGGCCGCCTTGTCTGCATTTACAGCTGGGGGCTCCCTAATGGAGATCCTCACCTCCACAGATTGGTCCAGAGAATCCACCTTCAGAACCTTCTATTTTAGACAATCTCCTCATGTTTCTAATTCCATCATATCATCGCTTTAAAACAGCAAATATAGCCAGTAGGAGGATCACACATACTCGAGTAAGAGCCATTAACAATAATCAACGGTCCCTCTAACACCTGTACCTCAACTCAATATAGCGTCACAGGACCTTATAGGTGATATATGTCATTATGAATATGTTTAAGCATGTTGGATCAGTCTATTCTACTCTAGTCCTGCCATGTCCGAATCATTGCTGTAAAAACCCGAAGATGACACGATGTTCTCTTTATGTATATTATGTACACATGTATTAAAATACTGTATGGTTATTA